TTTTTAATGTAAACAAGTATTTAAACATGTAATTATAATCGGATTCAGAACGGATTCGGTTATTAAAGATGAATTTCTAAGTGGGTTCGGGTACCTAATTTCTAATCGGATATTTAAACAGGTTTAAATATTTATAATGCATTTCGACGATCATTTTATTATTTTCAAATGATGTTATAAAATGTTATTTTATCTTTTAATGCTGCTCCGCGCGTTACGCGGGTACTAATACTATTATTATTAATACAAAGAAAAATTGAAGTGAAAGTGAAGAAAATAATATAAAAACTTAGACACAATCTCACAGAGTAAGGGTAAAGAAAATAAGATCTTTTAATTGACTACACATTTTAACTTTATTAGTCGGAAAAAAATAAAGAAATCTCCACTAATTGAAATTGGAATAGATTAATAATTGAATAGAGATTTTAATTTTTATTTTAATCCTTAAAATAATAAAAGGACCCTAGCATTATTAAGATATATTAAAAAGTTTTTTTTTTTTTTTTATTATCAGACCAATAGTTTAAGAGTACTGGATCCATATGCTATTTTAATCTTAATTAGGCACTTACTACCTTCTAATTATAATTAATATATGAGAAAAAAGATTGATATATAACAATTAATATTTGAACTCTATGGAATAATATTTTTTTATGATAATAAAGAATTAATATTTGAACACAATTAAGAATTTAATAGAGAAAATTAGGAAAAAGTTAAATTATAATTTTTTTTTACACGAGTATATATATGACCGAATAACGATGTACAACCCACATTCTTCTTTGCTAGAATGTGAAAATTAGTATTAGCTATATGATAATTAATATATTAACCATTGTTTTTTTTTTCTAAATGTTGTTTATAATTTTGGTTTTTTTAAAAAAAAAATTTTACAAGTGCTTGATTTGTCACTGATATATTTTTTTATTAATCATTAATCAATAAGTTTCAAAAATTAAAATAAAATACCTTTTTTATAATATAAAACAACAAAATTGATAAAAACCAAGTCAAACTAATCCTTATTTTGAGAAAATTTTCTTATGTAATATCTTATTTTCACTTTATTTTATTACATTTTATTTATTTATTTATTTTATTGCTTTGTACTTTTAATAAAATAATAAAATGTACATATTCTTCAAACATCCTTAATATTATAGAATACTTCTATTGATAACCTTAGTGTGAAGATACTTCTATTAATAGCCTTAAAATATATTTAAAAAATAAAATTTAGAAATATATATGAAAAATTTTAATCACAATTAAATATTAATAAGCACAAACAACATATCATACATATTCACATTAACTTAAGAAAACAGCAATTAAAAGCTCAACTGTTTAATTAACTTCAAATATAAAGAAAGGGAAAGAAGATTTAGATTTTTACATTTTGAACTATAAAAATAAAGATGGATATGGATGCATGAATAAAATGTGCCAATGATGATTTAGAAAAAAAAAAAAAAATCTATAATCTATCTATAATATATATAAGTGGGAATAGGGATGGAATATTGAGATTTTCAGTAGCATCTTTAATAAAATTTAAATATTCTAAAATAACTTTTATCATAACCAATTAGAAAACTATACTTTATTATTTGATTGATATAATTTATAAAAATTATTTTTTAAATAAATAAATATAGATAATTAACCAATTTAAAATTTATTTTTAATAAACATATATGATAACGATACATTTGAAAATCTTTATATTTTATTATTTAAATTTAAATAATAAAGACTAATGTATTTAAACTGAGTATATAACGAGTATAATCAACTTGCAACGTACGTCATAAAAAAGACTAATTTATTTAAACTAAGCTAATAAAACTAATTATCCTTAGTAAACTAATCATACAATGAGTTTATCATGTACCAGTACCAAAATCACAAAACTAGCAGTGGAATTTCTTTAAAAAAAAAAAAAAAAAATCATATCAAAACAATATCAATAAATTTAAACACGGTCTATGTCCCTATTGTAGATATATAAACATTAATATTACAATTCACATGTTGAACCGAATCTATGGGTTTCTCAATGAACCCTTAATCCACCAAATCTGTAAATTTTGAATATATAATTGACCCAATCTAATACATTATATTTTTGAATATACCAAATTGGGTTGAATCGAGTCAGTCATTTTAATTGGATTGCGTTATATTCTTACTTTTAACTCTCCACTTTCAACTAACCACTAAACTAGAATTTCTCTTTAAGAGCATCTGATAAAAAGTTCAAATTACCACTTAATACACGTTGGATTAAGAGTTGAAGAAAGGAATTAAATGGAAAGTAGACTTGATCATGGATCAGATTTGAATTGGAATAAAAATCTGTATCAGATCTATCAAGATATTTATATACCCGAATTCATATTTGTCCTGCGCGAAATTGAATTGGATGGATGGGAAATTCCTCATTTTTTTTTAAAAAATATATAAAGTGAAAACTTTTACACCTCTTTGAATGTTGACTCAAAACACTTAGCTAATGAATCCTTAATTAAAATGAAATGAAAACTAACAATGAAAAACTAAGATCAACATTAAATTAACAGATGTCCTGTGATGATGAAGAACTTTAAGATGCTGGAGATGCATTAACAGACTTCAAGAACAGTAGAAAAGGGAGATCAAAGTTACCAGATCAGTAGGTACAACAACAAGTCCCCTCTCATGTAGACACAGAATGCCTTTTTTATATTAATAAAATTAGCATTAAATTAATTTTCTTAGTCTATCCTAAAAATTTTTATAAGTTATATAAAGTTTTAAACTTTTAGCCTTTATTCAAATAAAAATGAAATAATCATTTTTTAAAGGGTCTATGTTTAACTTTTTATTTTAGAAAAGTTTATATTTAATTAATTGATTTCTTTTGAGATTCAAGTTCATAATCCTAAGCCAAATTTTGTTTTAAACACACTTCCATATTATTGATAATATCTGGAAAGATAATTAGCAGATGTAGAGTTCGATTAACCAACGGTTTAAGTTTTTCCCAAATATTAAATTTGAATCGGTTCTTAAATTGCCAGTTCCGAATCGATTTTTCAATTTCAAATCATTTGTCTGATTTTGGCAATTCATGCTTTTAGCCACGATTCCGGTATTATTTACATTTTTTTTTTCTTGAAAAGAATTCGATTATGACATTATACATAATTTTTTTACGAAAAAATCATTTCATCTTAATTTGAGAAAAGTTTTTAAATTTTATTTTCAATAATTTTTAGAATGCTCCTACAAGAAAAAAAAAAATCATCAATGTTGCAAATAGATACAAATAATCAAATCACTTGTGATTTTAAACTATAAATTACTAATAAATAAATTGTTAGAAAAAACTCAGAAAGGGAAAAGAATTTTGTTAACATTTCATATTTAAAAAGTATAAATATTTAATTATAAAGAGATTGTAATTTTAAATTTTAAATTTCAATAATCAAAATCACTGTGATTTATTAAACTATTAAATTACTAATAAATAAATTGTTAGCCAAAAAACTCCAGAAAGGCGAAAAGAATTTTGTTAACATTTTTCATATTTAAAAAAGTATAAATAATTTAATTATAAAGAGAATATTTAAAAAGTATAAATATTTAATTATAAAGAGATTGTAATTTTAAATTTTAAATTTCATTAATTTATTAAATATAGAAAATTACAAATAATTTTTTTAATTTAAATTGAAAAAGTAAAGTTCTTAAGCATTAAAATAAAAAAAAAAAAGGAAAAACCTACCTATACCAGGTCCATAGCCTCACTTATGGACTAAATCAATGAAACCAATGATTCTTATTGAAACGAGGGTATTTCTGACATTACACTTGGAAAAAAGGATAAAGTCGGAATACTTTTTAAAGAATAATTAGTTTCATTTGTTTGGTTCATAAGTGAGGCTATACACTGGATTTAGGTAAGTTTTTTTTTTAAAAACAAAAAAAATAGAAACATGCATCGTCAAAGCCTAAAATCAATAACTTTTTGGTATGTAATGAATTCAAGTAAATAAAATTGAACCATATCGAAAGTCAATTTTGGTTTTTTTAAAGCAAAATTGATTTTAATCTTCTGTGAACCACTAATTTTGATTTAATTCTCAAAATCGATGGTTCCAGACCTACTTCGATTGACTTAAGTCTAGATAATAAATAGATCAATGTCCATTTCCAACTTATGAAAAAAAATCTTCTATTTAAAGATATTCTTCTTCTTTTACTTTTTTAGGAGGGATATTCTTGTTCAAAGCCAAAAGTGCATATTCCATCCACCAAAGAAAAAAAAAATATCCATACACTTCTTAGCAAAGATAATAAATTCTCATGTTGGACCACAGGAGTAGTTAGCCTTGAGCAATTGAGCATCTCTAACCCGGTCCAAACCAGGATAAGTTGGAATCAGAATGCTTTCAGATTAAAAATTGAAAAGAAAAATCTTTATAAAAATCTAGGCAATTTTTAAAAAAAATGATAAAATTTTAAGAATGAAATGAGATTTAAATATTACATTTTATAGTATTCAATTTTATTATAATAGGTCTGGATTCAATTATTGCAAAATTTAAAAATTATTTGTCTGATTGAAAAATTCAGGGAGTAGTTAAATAGGTTAGCCTAATTTTAACCAATTAAAGACTTTGTTAACATTCATTCACAAAATTTAAACTAAAAGCATATAAAAAAAATCATTCATTTCAATGAAAACATTACACAAATTCAAATAATAAGCTTTTAAGCTATTCCCTTTGAATTGGAAGGGTTGTTTCATATTTTTTCTTGACAAATTTGGAGGATACTATATATGATAAAATTGAAGGGTATAAAAAAATATTTAATGGTATTCTTAGCACCTTAACATAGAAAAAGAAAATGTAATGGTAACAAAACCTACACCAACATCTTCTTGTATTTGCTGCAATGACAAAATCCAAATTCCAAGTTCAAATTTTTTAAAAAACATACCGTTCTAAGAATCAACTTTTTTTTTTTTAAAAAAAAGGCAAAAGGAAATTGCAATTTATACAAGTCTCCAAAAGTTATTTTCTCCTAAAAGTTACATAAAGTACACCACAAAAGCCTACAAAAAAACCAGGTCCGATAGTAACATAGAAACCTGCCAATATTGACTCATTTTCATCTTTAGAACTAAGGGGTACTGTCTTTGCTATTTCATCTCCATGGCATTGAGCTTGTAGAGGAAATCCACATAGAAAAGGATTACCCTCATAAATAGAAGAAGCATTCAGTGTTTGAAGCTGGTTTCCTGTAGGAATTTTTCCTGACAAGTTGTTGTAAGACAAGTCCAAATGACTCATAAATGTTAATTTGGACAAGCTCGGAGGAACTATCCCAGAAAGATTGTTATGTTCCTGACAAGTTGTTGTAAGACAAGTCCAAATGACTCATAAATGTTAATTTGGACAAGCTCGGAGGAACTATCCCAGAAAGATTGTTATGTGACAGATCAAATGTTTCCAACAAATTCAGATTCCCTATCTTCTCTGGAATGCTTCCACTAATATGGTTTCTTGATAAATTCAAGACTTGCAATGCCTTGAGGCTTGTTATTTCTTCGGGAATTTTACCTCTCAAATTATTCTCTGACAAGTGAATAGCATTCAGTAATGCAATGTTACTGCTAAATTCATATTCTCTTCCTTTTGTTATAACTGATATTTGTTCCTTAAAGTACGCCAGACGTCGCACGGCATTCTGATATTCACTGTGAGTGCTATTTCCATAGACAAAAGCAGTCAGATTGCCCAAACAGCTTGGAATGATACCTGACAACTTGTTATTGGAAATATCTAAAAAATGAAGATATGGAAGATAGCAAATTTCTTCTGGAATTTGACCATCTAGCAAGTTCGACCGAAGGCGAAGGACTAAAATGTTTGATAAATTTAGTCCTATCCAAGAAGGAATATTTCCTGATAGTCTATTACCTCCAAGATCGATGCTTGACAGCGATGAACAATTTTGCAATGAAAATGGAATTTCACCGTCTAGATCGTTATTGCTTAATGACAACAATGTAAGTGATTTTGCATAACCTAATGATTTAGGTATGCTTCCTGATAGAGAGTTATTTGATGCTTCCACAATAAACAAGGATTGCAAATTACTCCAACAATCAATCAATTCTCCGCGAAATCCATTGTTCCTGACAGCAAAAACTCTTAACTCTTCCAATTTACATATGGATGATGGTATAGTACCGTTTAGATGATTGTCAGAGAGATGCAAATTTTGCAGTCTTGGCATTAGGACAGCAATATTTTCAGGTATAGGCCCAGAAAATGAGTTGCTCTGAAGGTATAGCTCTGTTGCATTTGTTGTCCAAAGTGGAATTAGGCCTTCTAATGCATTATAGCTCAAATCAATGAATTGTAAATTTGGAGACTCCAACTTTTGAGGAAGTTTCCCTTTAATCTAATGCATTATAGCTCAAATCAATGAATTGTAAATTTGGAGACTCCAACTTTTGAGGAAGTTTCCCTTTAATGTGGTTATTAGATAAATCTAAGAACACTAGTTGTGAAGATAACTTGGAAAACCATTCTTCAGGAATGGTATCAGAAATTCCTACATTATTGAGTCTTACTTGAATGAGTTGAGTTTGAACTTCAAGCCATTTGGGAAAGAAAGGGCCAACTTTACAATTCACTAGTTGGATATATTTAAGCGTAAAAGGAGGAATCCAATCATAAGACACATTGAACACTAATAACCTTGTTGAATCTGTTGTCAGATGGATGTTCTCTAGACTTGTAAGATTCATCAAATGGGTTTCATCTAGAACTCCTTCCCAGGAATTATCTTCAAGGTCTAAATTCACTAGATTTGAGAGTTGGCCAAAACTCTCTGGAATTGTCCCATTCATTTCCCATTCCATTTTCGGTTACTGGGAAGTAGGTATAATTCCTTAAGAAGAAGATAACCTTTTCCTATGGGTTTTGGAAGTGAACCCCAAAAATGAGTTTCCAAAAGTGAGTTCTTCTGCAAATCTTTAAAACTTCTAATGATTCAGTAATTTTTCCTGTTAGTTGAATTGACAGTTTAAATTCAATGAGACTAAGCTGCTTATTCAGATTTTTCCTTGAAACCAAACAAAAACAAACTCATCAATTTGACCAGCGTTTAAAATTATTAGCCAGACAAGATCCAAGGATCCTTTAACTTAGTTAGAGTTTCCTAAAAGACTAGGAATTCTGACCCCCAATATTCACAAAATTATTCGGATAAACTTCAAAGAACTTCCAAAGACTTTTAGTCTAGCAAATTCACAAGGAATAGCGACCGGTTGAAAAAAGTTCCATTAACAGATTAAAGTCTTGTAAGGGCTAGAAAGCATGCACATAACCCATTGAGGAACTGCAAATTGAAAGAGTTTCTGATACATCAAGACAACAGACAAAGAGAAGTGAAGTTAATGGAAGAGTTGAACGTGGGCATTAACTATCATAAATCAAGAACAGAAAGAGAAGTGAAGTTAATGGAAGGAAGTGAAAGTGGAATACTATCAAGTTCACAGTATTGCAAGTTTAACTCTAACAGAGAAGGAAGCATATTAATAGCTTGAAGCCAATCATGCCCTACATCTTGGAGTTTAACATAACCCATGTTCAGGTACTTTAAAGAAGATAGACCTGAAAGCCAATGCAGATTATCAGCGCGTAGCTCCCACGCGCCTGCATTGCTATGTGATCTTGCATAAAGGTCAAGATAGTGCAATCGAGACAGATTTCCAAGTTGAGATGGAATAAATCCAGAAAATGATGAGAAAGAGAGGTTAAGATATCTCAAATTTTTTAGTTCACCCAAGAATTCAGGAATTTGAGTTCCTTCAAAATTATTAAAGCTTATATCTAAATAGCTTAAATATTGCAACTCAAGGAAAGAAGGACTAATCTTACCACCCAAACAAGACCTCTCATAAGTTTCTTGGTCACCAACTCCTCCATTGATTAATGTATAAGGATTTCGAAGGTCGAGATTGATGACATGACCAGTTTGATTATTGCATTTGATTCCATTCCATTTGCAGCAATCTTTTCCCTCCCAAGAGGAAAGTCTGCCAGAAGGATCAGTGAGGCCTTGTTTAAATACAACAAGTGCTTCTCTCTCTTTGTCTATGCATGTAACTTCATTGCCAAAACAAACCTTAATGATCTTTATCTGTGAAGAGAACAAGCACAAAATGAGTAGAAAGTGAAGAAGGAAAAAATTGGTCTCCATACTCCAAATAATTGTATTTGGTTTGGAGTGTATTATTTATGGAGGAAATGTTCACATTGCATACTGATATCAATGATTTAAAGGTATAAAATAATAAGGGAATTGCTACCTAACTTGTTCTTGTTTTGTCTCCTAAGCATAAAACAAATAAATTTGTCCATTTATATAATATAATTGAAGATAGGGTATAATAACTTGTTCTTGTTTTGTCTCCTAAGCATAAAACAAATAAATTTGTCCATTTATATAATATAATTGAAGATAGGGTATAATAAGATAATAATATAAATTTCTTTAATAGAATTCCATACAAATTTATATAATAATAATAATAACATAAATTTATATATTACAGAGAGTCAAATATCCTTTATATAATATAATTGAAGATAGGATATAATAATAATAATAATAATAATAATAATAATAAAGGTTCAAAATTTATTTTATTTTTATAAAATATAATTAAATGTCCATTTTTCTTGGACACTTCCAGGTTGCTTAAGATCACAAGCTGTAATCTAAAGCAATACCCATATAAAAATGGGGAAATAGTTTTGGCAATACCCATATGCCCATCTTTCTGACAAACCAAAGGCATTCATACTTGTAAGTCAACAATTGTGTTCTGATTGAGTTATTTGTATTTCTATATGAATTTAGGAAATGCTGAGATACGATAAATTATTGAATGTGTTTTTTTTTTAAGTTACCGGTGTCCGGACTCTATTATGAGGGACCGTCTAATCCGGTTTGGGAATTCCTCACAATTTTTTTGTCCAATAAAGAAACTATTGTTTATCGTATTTGTGAATGATAAGCTAACTAGGTCATGAATCATTTCAACACATAAGTCATAATATAAAAGAAGAGAAAAAGGGTTACCTCTCGAAGTGTGTCCCCAAATGCTTGTATGAGAGTGCCCATGTTTTTCCTGTTGCTTGCCACTTGCTTCCTCATGTGGTAACCCGTGTAAGCTTCTGTAGCTGAAGCACCCTTGCACAGTCTGGCAAGCACCCGTTTTGAGAAGTTGAACTATGGATGGCAATGGTCGGATATCCACTTAAAATACATTATCCAAACTCGAATTTATTCCAAATCTGTTTAAAAATTTATTTTTAGTACTAGAACATGTTAAATTATTGAACAAAAGCCAAACTATGCGGATTTATACTCTAAATCTAAATTTCTTCTCTTACCGAATAAAATATTATTTTCGTTGGACCTATACTCTCTCTTATGGTTAAGTTAACTAAAAATTCACCGTTTAACAACACCCTAACTAATATTAGTTAGGAATTTAAATTCATAAAAAGTCAAATAAAATAATTAATTTTAATTAATTATAAACATAAGATATTAGTTTAGGTTTATTTTTGCTATTTAGTTAGATACATTATAAAAATAGATTCCATTTATTATAACATTATTTTATTTGTAGAAAATCATTACTTATTGTCAATATTATATAAAAAATAATTAATTTTAATTAATTATAAACATAAGATATTAGTTTAGGTTTATTTTTGCTATTTAGTTAGATACATTATAAAAATAGATTCCATTTATTATAACATTATTTTATTTGTAGAAAATCATTACTTATTGTCAATATTATATAAAATATTTTTATTTTTAAGATGAATAGATTATTTTTTATTTAATATTTATATAAATAAATAAAAATATTTATTTATTTAGGGGCAGTAGTAGTGGAAAGGAGTTTGATTTGAGGAAAAAGGTTAAATTGAATTCCATAAAAATAATATTTTATTCATTAAATTGGATACAAGTGAAACTATGATGCTATTATAACTAAAGTTGAAGTTCAAGGTATTAGGACAAAAAAAATTAGATTTATGATACAATTAAAACTACCTGCAAAATTTAGAATTTTTTAATGATATAGCCACCAGAACATGTCTCGAGCCTTATTATAATTATCCGTTTAAATATCCTAGCTCGTTTAAATACCGCTTCAGTATTAAAATATTTTTTAATTTTTATTTTTTAAAAATAAAAAGTATGTAAAAATTATAAAATTTTAACTTATAAAACATAAAATATCTATCAATATTAAATGATTATAATAAAAAAGGTTTATATATAAAATTTTAATTGAAAAAAATAATTATTTTAAATATTTTTTTAATTAAATGGATAACAAGTAGCGGATTTCTGAATTTTTGAACCCGATAAAAGTACAATCAAAACCCGATAAGGATAGTAAAAGTACTACCCAAACTCGTTCCAAACCAATTCATTCACTACTTGAGCCCGCCAAAATTGAATTGGATTGGATGGGGTACCATCGGGTCGAATAAACTTGTCATCCCTAAGCCGAACCTATCACTTAGGGATGATTACGGTTTGGTTTGAAATTGAAACCGAATCAAAATCAAATCGGTCAAAACTAATATTAAACCGTAGTCAACGGTTCTGGTTCCAAACCGTAATCGAAACCATGCACTTAAGGTTCGGTTCATGTTCTTCATTTTTTAAAATTGCCACCTACGGTTTTAGTTTAAAACCAGCAGTTCCAATTTGAAACCGTGAAAAATATATTCTTAAATAAACTCCCCAAATTATTTTTTTGTTTTTTTTTTAATTTGTAAAGTAGTTTTTGAGTATTTTTATTAAATTAATTTAGTTTTTTTACCCTGAAAAAAAATCATCTTTCTGATTTATAGTGAAATTAACACATGCCTCCTTTTCTTGTATAAATTTTCATTCCGTCGCAAAATTATCTCCTTCGCAAACTTACTCCAATTTCCGTCAGATGGCAAATAAAATGACGATACTAACCTTTAGAATTTACAAAATTTCCTTTACAATTAGTTACTTTTCTGCCTCCATCTCTCTCCTTGAATCCTCCACAGATCCATCTCTCTCTTTCATGCCCACATGATCTGCACTTTCTAACTCTCTCTATAAGACAAGAGCGCACACACACACACACACTCTCTCTCGACTGGAGAACGGTCTATCCGAAGATCTATCCTTTTTTTTTTTTTTGTTTTTTTTACATTTCATCATCTGTCTATTACGCCATTATGCATTTGCTAGACGACAATCCAATATCTGTATGTCAAACAAGATTGAGTTATTGTGCTTGTACCAAGATTTCCCATCAAATATTTTCCTTGATTTGGTTTCTGAAAATCTTCTACTGCACCTCTTTCTTTCCTTTGGTTCATGTTATTGTGCTTGTCTTCAAGTTTGTTTGTCCTTTCATGAGTCTTTTTTCTTCCCCATTTCATGGTAGCATTCTTTCTTTCCTTTGGTTCATGTTATTGTGCTTGTCTTCAAGTTTGTTTGTCCTTTCATGAGTCTTTTTTCTTCCCCATTTCATGGTAGCATTCTTTCTTTCCTTTGGTTCATGTTATTGTGCTTGTCTTCAAGTTTGTTTGTCCTTTCATGAGTCTTTTTTCTTCCCCATTTCATGGTAGCATTCTTTCTTTCCTTTGGTTCATGTTATTGTGCTTGTCTTCAAGTTTGTTTGTCCTTTCATGAGTCTTTTTTCTTCCCCATTTCATGGTAGCATGAAAGATGTTTAGTTTATAGGATGAAATTTATGTGAGATGCCATTACTGCTAAACAGAGGCCAACTGGGATTTGACCAAGTAATAGAGATAGATGGAGAGACACAAACAACGTAAAACCAAATAAAAAAGAAAAATAAAAAATAAAAAACATTATGTCGTTCCCAACCCACAGTATCTACACCCTCAAACTGCAGCTTTCTTTTAACAAAAATTTCATCTTGGCCATATAACATTGAACTAAGGAATTAATACTAAGGATTCTATGGAAGCAAAAGAGAGTGAAGGATGAAAATGTCTTTTATTTTTTTCTTTCTCCTATGACCTCAATTTATGAGGTAGGCTATCGGAAAACTTGGAAAAATTTTGAATGGAAGGAGGTGATTATGTAACAGAGAAAATTTAGTGAGGCTTAAGTTAATGTCTAGACATAAAGAGAGTCCATGTGTTAATTTCACTCTAATTTAGGGAGGTGTTTTTTTTTCCTCTTTTTTAATAGTAATATTTATTAGTATTATGTATTAAAGCTACAAATCTAAATAGGTATTTTAAAAGTTTAAATTATATTATTTTATTTCGATTCAAAACTGAAATAAAATTAAAACCGGCGATTTCAAAACCGTCTTAGAAATCGTCTAAAAGTGATTCGGTTCCGGTTCCATCCTTTTTATAACCGGAATCGGAGGTCTTGAAATCGAAACTGACGGTTCTAGAACCAGTCATGCTACTATCACCAAGCAAATGACCGAAGAATATGAGAAAATTGCAACCATAAGATTTTTTTTTTTTTAAAAAGATGAACGAGGAGTATGAGCAAATAGCAACTAGAGAGCAACTTTAAACATAAAATCTTATGTATTGGATTATTTTTGCAGATTCTTGGTAGCTTAACTCAAAATTAGTTAGAGGACACAAATATTTTTCCAATCTGATATCATCAGTGAATCTCCTCTGATTCAAAATGATCTATTTTTCGATAAGTATATTCATTGAAGTAAATTGCTTTCAAACTACAAATATTACAATAATAATCATAATATAAATTTTAATATATTTAGACAAGTCAATGCTAAATGTCCAAACATGTACCAGACACAATTAGAATTTGTGCTTCTAAATTTACTTAGTTACCCATTGTGAAGCTAGCGGGTATACGAAGACTCCATGTAATGGGCCTATAGATAAAATTCTTCATCAAAACTCATTTTCAAAAAAAAATTTTGTGCTACTAAAATTTCACTTAAGTATATTACCCAATAGTGAAGCCATAAACGTGTATCACGGACAGACTCCATGTAATGGGCCAACTATAGATTAAAACTTCTTCATCCAAACTCATTCTTTCAAAAAAAAAACAAAAAAAAAACAAGAAAAAACAAAAAGAAAAAAAAAAAAAAAAAAAAAAAAAAAAAAAAAAAAGAAATCTTATATCATATTTCACTCACAAATTATGAAGCTTAGATTTTATTATTGTTATTCTGGTTA